TGCTCCCCCTGTGGTTAGGTTATCCAGGGCCCGGGTGCCAGGGGTGTGGTTACTTTGCCCTGCGGGACACTTTCTGTCTCCTCTGGTAAATGAGGGCAGGGTGTTGAGCAAGGTCACTATTTGCCTCAGGCTGCCTTTGTCTGCCTCTGTGGTCAGAAAGGACTGTTGACAGCACTCCCATTTCAGCACATGTCTGAATGGGATGTCCCAGGACCCCGGTGACTGGCGGTTTTATATGCAGCTGGCCCGAGGCGTCCAGACCCAGGCCTGGATCCTGCTCTTTTTCTTTCCATTATGAGCCTGTTTTCTCTTTAGCCAAGCTTCCCAGAGGCCAGGGGAGTTCACATTGAAATTCATTCTGAAGCCTGTTAACAGCTGTTGTTTCCAGTAGGGACGGGTAACGATATAACGTTCACTCAAAGAGAACAATAAATAACTCAAATACAAAACGCCTGCTCCTTCTTCATTCCCTGAACAAGAAGAATAAGCCAGGGAGGACTGGCTCTCCCCGAGCCTGCACGGCCCAAGCTAATTTACTACCAGGGAATGAAATCTCTTGCTTGAGTTATAATTTCATTAAGGCAGCCCAATAATATTACACAAAGAGTGTGAAGCTCAAATGATTTAGTCTGGAGCATCTCAAAATGAAATTACAATTTTCTAATAAAGCAGGCTACCAGCCCAACACCCACAAAAACACACTAAGCCATTTCGGAGCTCACCTGAGCAAAATGTGAGATGTTTAAAGATTGTTTTAGATCCATCAAAGTTCTCGCTTTTTAGGGTTGCCAGATTTCTCAAATAAAAATGCAAGACAACTAGTTAAAAATGAGTTTTAGATAAGCAATATGCTTTTTTTTAAAAGCATATACATCTCTCATATTGGGGCATATTATCAAAAATGTATTATTTATCTGAAATTTAGATTTAAAGTAAAGGACTTGAGCAGACATTTCTCTAAAGAAGATATACAAATGACCAATAAGCACATGAAAAGATGCTTAGCATCAATAGTCATTGGGAAAATGCAAACCAAAACTACCATGAGATGCCACCTCATACTCATTAGGATGGCTATTATCAATAAGAAGATAATGCATAACAAGGGTTGGAGAGGATGTGAAGTTGAAATCCTTGTGCACTTCTGATGGGAATGTAAAATGGTTTAGCCACTATGTAACCAGCAGTCCCACTTCTGACTATACACCCCAAAGAAGTGAAAGCAGAGATTACAAGAGACATCTGTACCCTAATGTTCATAGCAGCAATATTCACCAAAAGGTGGAAGCAGCGCAAGTGTCCATCAGTGAAAAAATGGATAACAAGATGTGGTGTAAATATACACAATGGAATATTATTCAGCCTTGAAGAGAAAGGAAATTCAGTAATATGTTACAACATGGATGGACCTTGAGGACATTATGCTATATGAAATAAGCCAGACACAAAAAGGCAAATACTGTACGATCTCACTCATATAAGGTCCCTACCGTAATCAAACTCATAGAGACAGAAAATAGAATGTTGGGTTCCAGGGGCTGGGAGATGAGGGATGACTCAGTTTACCCACAATGATAACTTGAGAAATTGTGAAAAGGTCAAATTTTTGGAGCCTATGTTGTGAAAGCAACTGCTTTCACAAAACCGTTTTGTTTATAAACAATTGATCAAATAATTATTTGAAAATTTGAACAACTCCTCTGGTGTGTGAACACACCACACGTCAGTTATCCAGAAAATCCATTCATGTGAAATAGCATGTTTGTTAGAAATTTTAACAAAAACTGTAACTTAAGAGCATATCTGTGATTACCCAAAGGAGTTGAAAACTTATGTCCACACACAAAACCCTGCACCCTGATGTTTACAGCAGCTTCATTCATAATTCAGAAGCAGCCAAGATGATTTCAGTAGGTGAATGGATGTATGAACTAAAACAAAACCAAAACTAAAACACACTAATTGCTAAAATGCCCAAGGATTTGGTCTTACACTCTGCCTCCTGAAAAGCACTAAATATTTCTGGAATAGTTTATTTGGGAAAATTATATACATTGAGCATTTTGGTTCTGTCCTCATTTCAAAAACCGAAAGTAAGGTTTTGTCCCATGTCTGGCGTTTATAGGCCACACGCATCCCACACCTAGCGCAGTTCAGCTGTCTCGAACAGTTACATAACTCGAAAAGAAGGAGGCAGTTGGAAGCCACAGAACTCCGTTGGTACCTTTGGGCTACAAACCTCAGCCTCTTTTATAAGTCCCCCCCATCTGTTTTCTTTTTGCCAAATGCACTCTGACAGATGGCCTCCCTCAAGCTGACCCACTTTCTTTTAAAACTGTACAGTCTGATCAAATTCAGGTATGTGTGTTACCAAATGCAGCTTCTACCCAAACAGAAATGCAAGTCAGTTTGAATATGAAAATAATTAATGTCCATGCAGGCAGAAGAAAGAACGAATGTTTCTGAGTAAAGGTAAAGAATGTTTCTCACAGATTTTCAGGAACATGTTTCAAAACACTGTTCTCAAGCTGCCATTCTATGGGCAACACAAGGGTTGTTCAGTGGAAAAAAGATTCTGGCTCTGCCCTAAGCTTCATAACATGAGAGGGTTCGATTTTCACAGGAAGGCAAGGATCTCTCCTGGCAGTTTCCAGATAGATAAAAATCATGAATTTGGTCTTGAAAGGATCTAAGCAAACAGGCAGCCATCCCATAGTATGTTTCTCACGCATTGTTAAAGGCTGAAGTATGTTCTCCTCCAGCATTCAGGTTGAAGCTCTGAGCTCCAGGACCTCAGAATGAAAACTCAGTTTGAAGATGGGTCTTTAAAGAGGTGATTAAGTTGAAATGAGGTCCTTAAGGTGGACCCTAAGATCTTGGGATTAGTATCCTTATAAGAATCAGACATCAAAATGCAGACATGCACAGAGAGATGAACATGTGAGGACATAGGGAGAAGAAGGGCTACACGCCAAGGAGAGAGGCCTTAGAAGGAACCAGCTGTGCCCATACCTTGGTTTCAGACTTCCAGCCTCCGGGATGTGAGATAATAAATGTCTGTCTTTAAGCCGCCCAGCCTGTGGTACTTTTCATGGTAGCCAGAGCAGACTAATATATTTAATCAACAAATATTTACTGAATGCAAATAATTCCAAGTCTGAGACTAAGAAGAACCAATGCAGAGAGTCAGAATCTGGCCATCGGGACCTCATGTCAGGGAGGCATCTTTCAGGAGGAGACTGGTTAGCTGAGACCTAATAGCTAATAATATTGTCTGCCATTGATTAAGCACAGAGACAATCTTTGAATCACATGGTATGGCTCCAGAGACAAGTATACTTCCACTGATAGGACAAGTATGGGTCCACCAAGTTAAGGGAGGGGAGTTCACTCCAGGCAGAAGGCTCTGAGGAGTTCCCCAGAACCTAGTTAAGCTTCTGAAACTTGACAACACTGTCTGAGTGGCTCCCCAATTACCCTGGACATAAAACCTGAGACAGTAATATAGGACTTGATTCTAAATTGAGGACCCCAGGGGACAAGCACATAAAACTCTGGGTTGTGAGAAATGAGC